GGGGGTTGGATTCTATGCGGAGAAGGTGGAGAGAGGTGGCGGCGAGGTGGAAAGAGAAAGGTGGATGGGATGGGACGGGACTCGCGGCGGGACGGGTGGGTGAAAGGGAGGGTAGGAGGAGGGGGGTGATACGAGACCGCTCGGCAGGGATGAGGGTGCTCAGGGTGTCGGGGGTGTTTAATGCAGGACGGGTGCTTCGGTTCCCAGCGGTTGTCGAGGCTCCAGACGCGAGTAAGAGAGGAGATTCAATTAGTGGCAGAGCTTCCTAACGTTAAGGAGACTCCACGACCGGGGGGGGGAGGGGGGTGAGAGGGGGTTGAAACACCGGGCCTTCCTTGTCCCCGCTTCCTTTTGCCGCCACCTTCACATCCGCGAGCACACACTCGTACACGCTAACGTTTCGTCCCACGTCGCGCCTTCTCTGTGCCTCCTCTGTGTCTCGAAAATTACTCGTACTTTGTTGGCGGAGTTAATTAGACACTGTGATTAATTGCCGACGTATAGTCGAGGCAGCAGAATGGCGTCGGGACTCCCTTTGTTTCGCGGATAACTTTTTTTTGCTGCATACATTGCATATTAACCTAACGACATAAAGTGTGCCGATATATCTGTAAGAGCAAAAGATATTGCAGTAATTTGAATTTAATTAGGAAAAGTAGCCGAATGCGCAAAGTAATGCGTCTAAAGTATATTTTCTATATATTTTCTATTTGGTTCTAATTTATGCGTAACGAAAGATAACTTAAATTGTATTTATGGATCTTCTAAATCATATCCTCTTTGAAGATAGTGAATGAAAATGATATTGATATTAAAAATGATTGGAAATAATTAAAAGTAGAAGATTCATGAAATTATTATCTATTTATAGATTCTAAGAAGTAATATCTTATTTTATATTTAATTTTTATATTTTCATAATTTTAATAATTTAAGAAAAGAGTTAATATATTTGATTATTAATAAATAGTAATAATATGAAGTGATAAAAATTCATCGAAATAAAACTGTCCTGAATTTATTTTTGCAATTGATATATTTTTATTCATATCAGTTGTTAATTTTATTATTATTATGAATCATCAATTTTACAACGATATAAATAATCTTGCGATAATACGATTTTGAATGTTTAATTAAATTTTATAAAAATATCGATTTACTTTTTATAATAACTGCAAATATGTATACAGTGAATGTAAATTAATCTATAAAATAAATCTTCTTTTATAAAAATATAAAAATTTAAAATAAAATTGCATGATTCTGACTTCTTAAAGTGTCGTTAGTACACACATATAAAATACGATATAATCTATTTAATTTTTGTCTTACTCGTGTTTTATTTATTTTATTTATTGTTTTTATTACTAAATGTTTCTTATAGTAACATAAGTTAGTAGAATATAAAATACTGATGAGATATGACTTACTAATTGTATTTAGTAATTTTTCTCTATATATATGTGTACATAATTATCAAACAGTTAAAGTTAAACTATTCTAATATTATACATACATTTTTTTTATTTATTATACCTTTTTTATATTACCTTTTTTATTATTGGATTCTTAGATTGTATAAATATCAATAAATCAATTAAATGCATTAAAATGAAAATTAAAGTGAAAATTATTAGACAATACAAAAATTAATATTAATATAAATATATATATTTCATTTAAAATTCTATATTTTATAATTAATGATAACAATTTGACTACCGATTCAGTTAAGATTGTTTTAATAACTCGTTTTGATTGATATCTGATGATATTATCACGATATTAAATCTTCGAAACTTTGCATACATAAAATTTGATCCATTTATCTGCATAATACACAGGGATCGGATAAAATAACAAAAACATACATGAAATAAAGCAGTGTGAATTTTTCTGGGAATGAAATTTTTAAATAGTTTTTAATATTATTGAAGAGATGTGTGTTATAAAAATGATATAATATCATTTTTATAACACACATCTCTTCAATTCCTGAGAAAAAAAGAATATTTATTCCTTATCCTGTTTTCTAATATTTGATAGTTTGGAGTGAATAGTGCAGAACAGAAATTATCTAGAAAACAAACTATAAATAATTAAAATTTAATTTCTAAAATTTTTCTTATTATTGTAATTAATTTAAAATAGACAATGTTCTTCTTTGCTAATGTCTTTAAACATACATTCAATTTTCCACTTATTAAAAAATTTAACGCAAAAGCTTGAAGAATTAAATAAGAACTTATTGTTCGATTCACTTAATAATATATATTCTTTCGAAAATTATCAAGAATATATTATAAATTATCTAGTATTCAGAAATTAAATTAAATTCTCATTTTTTTATGCCAAATTGTCACATGAATATTATTTATCTAACATATAATAAATCAAATTTGATATAAATATAAAGCCATCAAGCCGTGAAATAAATATCAACGCAGTGCATTAGATTTATTTTATCTAGGAGAGCAATCAGAAATTGTGTATATAAAATTATGTTACTCTTAATATAATAATTATTATTATAACAGTAACGCACATATTAATTATTATATATAATATTCATTTACATAACGATGTAACTCGATCAAAGTATCTTCCGGATTTTTGTATCTGTAATTGAAATTTTCAAATTTTCTTGCAAAACTAAACCTTCCTTCCGCGTATGAAAATGTAAAAGCAAGAAAACGGTTTTACCGCGAGTCCGACAGACGTTGAAAATCACATGAAACGTTGTGAAGCGCCCATAAGATGTAGGTGACCATTCGGGATTCGCATTATACATTATGTACGTGGTACTCGGCGCATCGCGAAACGCCGCAGGCGCGCAATCATCCGCTCGCTGAACAACCCCGAAACCTCCAACGCACTCACGCTCCCCCGCCTCCCACGCTCCTCCTCCCTTCCTCCCCCCCTCCTTCTCCTCCGACGTAATCGACGCGCTTTCCTCTTTCCACGGAAAATTCGTTCCCGCCTGCGATATTATCCGTCTGTGTTAGCGCTCCGTGTCGCGCCGGCAAAATGCCGTCCTCTCGCGATTTCGCGCGCGCGCGCGCGCACACGCGCGCACCCACGTGCGGATGTCTATATGCGAAATATGGCGTTAAACGATCGTCGGAAGATTAGCCGAGCAGCTTAGTTCCAAAACGGATTTGTAATTCTTGACTTGGTAGGGCTCGCGAAAGGAAACGGGCTGTTCGTCGGAATACGCGTGTTCTTCATACGCGGCAAGAACAATTCTTCAGTAGGATCTCAAAATTTAGCTGTAAATCTGAAAAATAGTTTTGTTGAGCCATCAATATGATTATTATGTAAGGCGTTTAGTTTCCA